TCGGTTCAGCCGTTCTCGAGTTTTAGCGAGACTAACGAACAGCAATTCATTTTCAACGGCCGTCTGGTGTAGTGGTAAGTGACATGGACACAAAGGGGTCGCGGGTTCGAATCCCGCCAAGGGAAGATATTTGTATGATAAATATAAATGTCCTTTCCAGGGTTATGGATGTATATTAAATATATGTATATAATATATATGATAGTCGTCGTGGCCTAACGGATAAGACGTCCGGTGCATTCGTGTTGAAGCGATGCACCGGTGTTCGAATCCCGCAGGCGGGTACCAATTTTTCTAATGAAATACGTACTCAACTAATGTTCACGATTGACTTCCACGGTGAAGGAATAACATCGTGTAATAAAAATGAAACCCGCAAAATTATAATTTGCGTAATTACTGGTGGTAGGACCTCTTGTGAATCCGCGCGGGTGGGTACCACCACCCTGCCTATTTCTGCCGTGAAGCAGTAATGCGTTTCGGTTTGAAGGGTGGGGCAGCCGCTGTAACTATACTTGAGGCCTTAGAACATGTATCTNAAAAAAAAAAAAAAAAAAAAAAAAAAAAAAAAAAAAAAAAAAAAAAAAAAAAAAAAAAAAAAAAAAAAAAAAAAAAAAAAAAAAAAAAAAAAAAAAAAAAAAAAAAAAAAAAAAAAAAAAAAATATGTATGTGTATAATGAAAATCTTACATTTATTTCCGTTATCTGGTACCTGTAACACAAGTTCTTTACGAACTTATCACGGGACCAATTAACGTGGCGTGATTGTTAGTAAATACTTATTATTATTATTTATTTATTTTTATATATAGAGATTTTGTTTTCAATAGCCAAAGTTATGTACATTAATACGGGTTTGCTGAGTGCACATACTATTTAGATAGCAATCCAGATTAGATTTAGGTACTACTTGTACGATTTAGCTAATATGTACTGTAATGATTGTATTTGTTTTGTGCAAAAAAAAAAAAAAAAAATCATGTATGCGCGACTTCCGGAAACCTAAAAAAATCCTAAAATGTTTTTATTTTTTATTGCTTAGATGGTTGGACGAGCTCACAGCCCACCTGGTGTTAAGTGGTTACTGGAGCCCGTAGACATCCACAACGTAAATGCGCCACCCACCTTGAGATACAAGTTCTAAGGTCTCAAGTATAGTTACAACGGCTGCCCCATCCTTCAAACCGAAACGCAATACTGCTTCACGGCAGAAATAGGCAGGGTGGTGGTACCCACCCGCGCGGACTCACAAGAGGTCCTACCACCAGTAAACAATGTACAAACAATGTTCGTTCAAACAATGTACAAATTACAAACACTGCAAGAGATTTGCGTAGTTCAGTGACTCAACGTAAAATCATTAATATGTGATTTTCTGTTGCAATTAATTAATATGCATTGTAAAACGGGCACCCTGTATTTTAAAATTTCACCATTGGATACAATGAAGAAACCTATATAGTTTTCCAAATACACTTTTACGTTCGCAAAAAAATTTAAGCTTCGTGACCAAAAATAAAACAAATGGAATTTAATACAAAACCTGACATACGATATTGTAGAGCGAGCTGGTTGGTGGTCCGTGCTTTTGTTTTTTAAACATCAAAATTACACAGCTGTTAGATTTCAGTGTTGCGGCGGGCGCGTGTAAAAACGTCTTGCGAGCATTTTAAAATGCAAAAGTAAGTCTCACTAGTGTTTTAATATTTATTATGCAAGATCGGTGAAAGAATCCACTTGTTGTTAAGTGCTCACGGGAGCGCACAGATATTACAACGTGAATACCCAACATGAGACATGGGAAAGAGGTTTTAATTGTTTTCGCATTCGCTGGTATTAGCATCACTTGTGAGTCCGCACGGGTAGGTACCATCACCCTGCCTATTTTTTTTTTATTTTTTTTTTTTTTTTTATTGCTTAGATGGGTGGACGAGCTCACAGCCCACCTGATGTTAAGTGGTTACTGGAGCCCATAGACATCTACAACGTAGACGCGCCACCCACCTTGAGATACAAGTTCTAAAGTCTCAGTATAGTTACAACGGCTACCCCACCCTTCAAACCGAAACGCATTACTGCTTCACGGCAGAAATANAGTCTCAGTATAGTTACAACGGCTACCCCACCCTTCAAACCGAAACGCATTACTGCTTCACGGCAGAAATAAGCAGGGCGGTGGTACCTATCCGCGCGGACTCACAAGAGGTCCTACCACCAGTAATTACGCAAATTATAATTTTGCGGGTTTGATTTTTATTACACGATGTTATTCCTTCACCGTGGAAGTCAATCGTGAACATTTGAATCGTGAATATTTCTGCCGTGAAGCAGTAATGCGTTTCGGTTTGAAGAGCGCAGCCTTTGTAACTATACTGAGACCTTAGAACCTATATCTCAAGGTGGCGCATTTACGTTGCAGATGTCTATGGGTCCCGGTAACCATTTAGCACCAGGTGGGCTGTGAATTCGTCTTCCTAATCTTAATTCCCCATCAATGTGGAGTGCGGGTATTTGACAAAACCTTGAATGGAGAAAACAATTCCGATAATCACATCCAACGGACGGTAACAAGTAACAACTGTCGACAATAAAAAAGAGCAACAATGCTAAATGACGAAAGCGAACGAATTAAAATGCGAAGGTCTCGGATTCCGCGTCCCTCACAAAGCGGACCGAACGGGATTCTCGGAAATGCGCTCGTTTCGTTTACCGTCGTATACTTCAAGTTTGCGATACACAGAAGCGCGGCTGTCATTAGACATAAATCATAACTGAAGTCTAGGACGATGTTTTAGTCAACGAGATACTCGTAGGGTTTAACATTTCTATTTCGTGCTCGTGTTTCTATGTATTATATTTACTGGTGTATATTTACTGGTGGTAGGATCGCTTGTGAGTCCGCGCGGCTAGGTACCACCACCCTGCCTATTTCTGCCGTGAAGCAGTAATGCGTACTTTGGTTTCGCGGCAGAAATAAGGAGTACGGGGGCGATCCCACAGACACAGCCCACTGAGTTTCTCACCGGATCTTCTCAGTGGGTCGCGTTTCCGATCCGGTGGTAGATTCTCCGAAGCATGGCTCTTGCTAGGGTTCGTGTTAGCAACGTCGTCAGGTTTGAGCCCCGTGAGCTCACCTATTAGTTAAGGTTACGGTGATATGGTCTCTCTAGACCATCAGCTTAGGTAGGAAAAAAAAGGGAGGCGAAATTTTAGTAGTCATGTATTATCGTCTATGTATTGTAGTCATGTCTCAAAACTGCACCTCAGACGCTCTTCAAGTCAATACAGTGCAACGTACATTTGCAATTTTATGGCTTCAACCTCGCGTTTGATAGATCTTAAACGAATGCAAAAAATTCGATCTCGTGCCAAATAAATATAAATTAGGTGTAAACACAGAATTCAGGCAGAAACGAAAATAGACTACCACCAATTAAACTGAAAACGCTATAGTTTTTCTAAGATATAAATGCGTGATTTTAATACTTCATGTTTAGGAAAGCACCGATATATGGTGAAGTAGTGACGTAAGAGGCGTTACCTTGAGGAGGCCGTTGACCCTTTTTTTTTTTTCGGGTAGAGGGCCGAACCTCCTACGAGGTCCCCGCGCAAAAGGTGCGCGCGGGGTATGTGAGACTACGATATGCATGGTGTTGTGAGCAGACCGCGGGCCCAAGGATTTTAGGGCCCACCCACTAAACGACTCCCCTGCACTCTTACACCCGACGTCCGATCCCCTCCGAGGTCAGAACCCGGAGGAGGTAGGGGGGTTACCGCGGTCAACACTACAACCAGACGGCGCGGCTAACCCCAAGGACGCCCAGCCGACGGAGCCTTCGAGGCGAATCGAAGGCTCTGAAACGTCGGCCGTCTTGGTACGGCAGCCCGTCGGGCCGCCCGGACGGTGCCGCTGGTGTCCCGGAATACCCCGCTGGACCAGAACCAGCCTGCCGAGTCGGGACGCGATACACCGTCGACCGGTCGCTCTATTTACTCCACGGCAGCGCGCTAGAGCGCCGGTAGCGCGCCACGCTCGAACTACTCCTTCGCCGGGGCGCCCTTCCCCCCTAGAGCGGAGGTCGCTACGCCACCTGTAATCGGCAGCGAGCGCCTCCGCCTCCAGGTCCCAGGGTGGCGTCCCGGCGAGCAAGCACGCCGCCTCGAAGGAGACGGTGCGGTATCCTCGGATGGCCCTGACCGCGATCGCGCGCTGCATACGTCGCAGCCTGGGAGGCCGTTGACCCTGCTCGTCATCTGTTCTTATTACATTGTCTGAATTCAAAAATAACCCCACTTCGATAAAACGGCACGACACGAGAACCCTCTTATCGTGGCCGCCGGTAACTACATTCCCGATCCTGCGGACAGAATGGAAAGCAGTCGACGTCACCCCAAACACGTCATTTCAGATCCTCCCGATCCACTAACGGTGCTTTTAGGTACTTCAAGCACCGGTCATCGTTCTCGTCCAACCCGAAACGACGAAGGGCTCGACGAGTAAATTAACCCTCAGACACAGCCCACTGAGTTTCTCGCCGGATCTTCTCAGTGGGTCGCGTTTCCGATCCGGTGGTAGGTTCTGCGAAGCACGGCTCTTACTAGGATTCGTGTTAGCAACGTTATCAGGCTTGAGCCCCGTGAGCTCACCTACTAGTTAAGGCGACGCTGATATAGCCTCTCAAGGCTATCAGCTTAGGTAGGAAAAAAAAATCAAAAATATCATAAATGTTAAAATATTAAACTTAATTCGGGTGTTAGTAATCACTTGGCCTCATTTTCGGGAGCAGTTCAAATGCTAACTGAATTGTAATAAAAATTTGAAAACCTATACAAAGTCAACTTAAAATCCGTCCAATTTGCATAACAAGTGCTTATGATATACATTTGTGCATACGGACAACACGGATCACCAGGCACAAATGGCCCGAAGCGAACTTCACGGTCGCTCGACGTTTCCCGACTAACTTGGTTACAAGAGACATAATAAACTTTCCCACTTACTTGTCTTCGATTCATTTTATGTTACGTCTTGTGCACTTTCAATTTGTGGTACACATCGATTTTTCCGTTGATCCTTTATTGACTTGTATGCTAATTAAAGAGGTTACTTGTAAGAACTATGGTATGTATTGATGCGATTTAGTATGGTCCCTCATTAAACCGTTTAAATGGGTGAATAATCTCACGGACTATTGTGTATAGTTAATGGAACCTAGATAAGGCTTTTCAACATCTCATTTGGGGTCTGTTTAGGCTCAGTTTTCTACAACCTTTTATATTCCTTATTTATTAGGATAAATAATCAAAGAGAACCTAATTAGCACCCTTTAAATCTAAGACACGGTTCGGGTCAGATTGCGAAGTAGAACACCTGCGGATCTTTTCATTTCTAATAATTAAAAAGATACTAGTTTTTGTTCGGATAACAAAACGTAGACTTAGTGCGTTTTCCGAGGCACTGTTAGGTATCATCAGGCTTTGGAATGAACATCTTCAAACGAAGATTCAAAGTAGTACTGAGCGGAAAGCAATGATACAGATATGCCTTGGCACTAGCTGACGTATGTAAACGACGGTGATCACTCACTCATGGTGATTTATTAATGGGCTTGATTCAGCGTTACGAACATAACCTGTGTAGGGGCCAGGTATGGATTTTAAATTAAATGACGATAATTCGACTTATAACGTGTACTTTATTTTAAATAGTAAAAAATGCATTCAAAAAACACTTTCACAAAAATTGCAATAAAAAAATGGCGTGTGCGCAATAGTGGCATAGATTACAGAGTGTAGACGCCGATGAGACGCCATAACGATATGGAGCGGTGGCGCGAAGATTTGAATCCTTAACATGCCCCCACGCGTTGAAAGCTCGACTTTCAACTGGAGACGTCATCTTCAGGCAGCAATGGAACAATGTTGCTAAAGGATCTTCGAACAACGCCATTTCTGGTTTTAATATCAGCAACTCTGGTTATCTGGTCAGTACCAGGATATACCTCGACAATGCGTCCCAATTTCCACTTCATGGGTGGAAGGTTTTCTTCCTTCAAAAGGACTAGGGTGCCAATTTTCAGGGAATACTGACATGATCGCCATTTTATACGCTGCTGGAGTTGGGCCACGTATTCCTTACACCATCGAGTCCAAAAATGCTGGCGTATCTGTTCAATCCTCTGATAACGTGTGAGTCTGGTAATAGGGTGTTCTTGAAAGTTCCTTTCGGGCAGGGAAGTGAGAGGCCGGCCGATAAGGAAATGACCTGGCGTGAGCGGCGTTAAGTCTTCTGGGTCTGATGACAAAGGAGTTAGTGGTCGAGAGTTAAGGATCGCCTCAATCTGAACCAATGCTGTGGTGAGCTCCTCAAAGGTTAGGTTACAATTTCCCAGCACTCTATTTAAATGATGCTTAGTTGACTTAACACCTGCCTCCCAAAGACCTCCGAAATTAGGGCTGTACGCGGGAATAAAATGAAAATTGATGTTATCCTGTGCCGAATCAGCGGCCAAGGAATCACAATTGGCTTTGAGAAATTTCGATAGGTCATTATATGCGCCAACGAATGAGGTACCGTTGTCTGAAAATATGTCTCTAGGCTTTCCTCTACGCGATATAAATCTCCGTAACGCTAATAGATAGTTATTGCTTGTTAAGTTACCCACCAACTCTAAATGAACTGCCTTAGTAGTGAAGCACACAAAAATAGCAATGTACGACTTGATGAGTCTACAACCGCGACCAGTACGACTAGCGCAGGAAACGGGACCGGCATAGTCCACGCCTGCTGCACTTTCAAATGCGTAACCTCCAGGTTCGAGTCTCTGCTGCGGTAAGTTGCCCATTAACGGAGCGAATGACTTTCCTTTCATACGATTGCAACGCACACACTGACGGTAACATTTTTTCGCTAAATTACGACCGCCTATAGGCCAGT